TAAGCATCATCACAGCATACAAAATGTGATTTCCCATCTAGAATATACTGCATATGACTAGACTTTTTAAACATTTCTCTTATAGTGAGACAATGTTCAACTCAGTGAAAAGAAGTTCTAGTTCCTACTGCTGCTATCTGGCCTGTTAGAGGTGTTATGCAGTGCAGACCGCTGGTAGTGCTCGGCCCAGTGCTTGCCAGAAGCATGCAGTCCAACTTCACACTGATCTTGGCCAGCTGACTTCTTGGCATTATCTCCATGCACATACCAATGCTGGGACTCCCCTATGTACCCACCTATCAGACAAAAATTTACATTAAGGAATATGGTTTGAGGGACATTACCTTTATTTATGCTTGCTGTGTGGAGAACAATAGCTTATCTATATTTGGGCTTGCAATAACCCCCTACTATATTCTCATTTAATAGTCCTTAACTGTATGCCCTATTATTAATCCATTTTATTTCAGTCCTTTAGCCTTTAAAGTACTTCTTTCCTCTTCATATTGCCTTTATATGTTACTTAAGCCTCATTACCTCATCTGGTAGAAACAGGACTAACTAGACACCTGGGAGGTAAGATACAACAGAATGTGAAGCAGGTTACCAGAGTTCTAAAGGAAATATGGAGAGTGGAGGTTGGACTTTTGGTTTGGTCAAGTCTCTGCTATTTTTACCTTTTGTTTGTTATAGGATTTAACCACCATCTCAGCTTTTAAAACACTACCCCATTCACTTCAAGCAGCATAGCATATCAAACACTGGCATCTAAAGTTCTACAACAGTATTTTTTAGGGCTATTCTAAAAGAACCCTTTCTTTTGTTCCATCTTATATTTAGTAGGGTACTTTGTGGCAGAAACAGTCATGGTAGTCTAAATAAGAATGATTTTATAGTTCAAGTGTAGGAATTTTCTTAAATCTTGTTTCTATAAAGTCTGTAGTTACATAACTGCTGACTACTACTGATTAGATTTTTTTATTAATGATTTATTTTAAATTTTATTTATTCATTCATTTATTTTAATTTGACCAGAGAGACACAGAGAAGGAGAAAGCGAAAGTGAGAAAGCAAGCCACCACGTCTGAACCATGGTTGGCCATGTAGGAGTGTGTCCAGCGCCTTAACCACCACACCACCTGCTGGTCCATTGTTGTTTTTAAATTTGCCTCAGAGAGACAGAAAAGGGGGAAAGTGAGAAAGTCCTCCATGCTGCTGGGTTCAGGACTCGAACCACACAGCCAGCCATGAGGGATCCAGCCACCTTAACCACCATGTTACCAGCTGGACCCTGACTAGATTCTTCTCTTTTTAATTTTTTTTAAAGGTTTTTTCACAGGGCACTCACCCAAAAGTCAGAAAGAGGGAAAGTGAGAGACCACCCCCCCTGGGGGTGGGTGGGGGGTAGCCATGCAGCAATCCCTTCTCTTCCATTCTCCTCTGGAGATTTTAATCACACATGCACATGTGACTGGCGTGAGTTTCAAGCCTCTGGATCCAGGACCTGAATCATGGTTAGCCACAGGAGAGTCCGGCGCATTAACTAGTACAGCACCTTCTGATCCTTCTGACTGGATTCTTAGAAAACAAATGTTATCTTCTAAAAATTGTGGATTTTTTTGAGGAATCTTTAACACGACCAGTACAAAAATATTTATTTTCTAGTAATTAAAACAAACAAAAAACACAAGAAACAAATACTATAAAAGCAAACTAATTTTATTTGTAAAATCTAACTGGAGAGCAAGGTAGATTAATGTACACCTGTAACCGGATGAAAAACATTCTGTGTCAAAACTTTAAAACGTAGTGGCAGAAGAAGCTAAAAAAAATTTCTAAATAAGCTATCAGTGAAAGGAAAAGAATGTTTACTATGACAAAACATATTAACTTGACTCCTTATAAGTGGGTCTATTACCTGAATATCTAATTTAGTCTAATAATGAGACTGAAATTAATCTATATTTGCTTATGCAAATAAGGCTTAAGAATGCAGCAAAATCTATCTTCTAACTAATAAATTAATGAATAAGTAATAAATTAACATAGGTTTCATAGATACTCCAACCACAAGTTTTAACAACTGGAGAGAAGAATATCAAGTAGTTTCAACGATGTAATTTAAATGTTGGATCAACTGGCTTGTATACCAAGTGGTAACAAATGCTAACTTGAAAGTTTTCACAGCTACCAACAATCTCTCATCCTGTTCCTTCCCTCACTTAAGAATAGAAACATTTTCTTGAAAGCTTTTAAAAAATTTGGTTGGCTAAGGCATGATTTTCTTCAAGTAAACAGACTGAGATGCCTATAAGAGACTTCTGTATATATTTTTTAATATGGGAAAAACATTCACAAACATCTATAAGAGAAAAATAATTTTCCTTACATTTTTAGTAAGCTGCAACAATGACAAGTATAGGATATTTTGCTTTGAATATAAACACATGAAACCTTTGAAGAGAGTTCACATTTTCATATGAAGCTGTGTTATAAAGAAAATAACATGTACTCCCAGTGAAGGTCCAAATACTCTGGTCTATGGTAAAGATCCTAGAAATAGTTTTACTCTGCAGAATCAGAGTTTGAAAAATAATAATCTTGCTCTTCTTCATCTAAAGACTGCATAGTAGGATTAGTGAAAAGTTTTCCAATACCAGAGTTTTCTCCTAAATCTGTAAAGAGAAGTTTAAGAGGATTAATACATTTCTAAAACTAATTTCAATAAAATTTAAGTATAAGCAACTAAATGGAAGGTCTGTTCACTTGAAAGCAATTCATTTTCTCTTTTTTTTGAGAGGTTTTTGCTATAGGGCACATGCGCTCGCCAGACAGACAGAAAGTGAGAAATCACCCCCCAGGGGGGATGGCCACACCACAATCCTTTCTCCTCTCGGGATCTTGGGCACACACACAAGCGCCAGGCATGAGTTTAAGCCACCAGGTCCAGGACTTGAACAGTGGTTGGCTACATGGGAGTCCAACGACACAGCCATTACGCTAACTGTTGGCCCCGAAAGCAATTCATTTTAATATCCTCTAAATAAGAAGATTAACAGAACTGGGCTACAAAAGAAAGATATAGGTGTATTACCTTTGTTAAACTGGGTTTTTCTTCTGGATGTTGGAGTTGAAAAATCAGTTTCAACCTAAGGAAGGGTTCATATTAATATTTAAACGGTACCTCTTGTGAAGCCTACTCAAACCTAAACAAAATTAAACATGCTTTATCAAACTCTGAAGTGCTTTGAATATATATGCCTAAAACAACACTTAATCATAATTATCTTTGAAATGCCCAATTCTCTTTCAAGCTGAATTTATCCAAGGCAGGAACCACAACTTACTCAATGTTGTTTCCCATTGCTGGCAAATACTATTATAAGAAAATATTATAGTTCAAGGATAGTTTATGGGCTTCTGAAAATTGCCAAGATGTATTAAGTACTTATGTTATTTAAATAATTTAATATTTGGATATTAAACATAATTTATCATAATTATTAAAATCATAACTATTGGTAAAAATCTGTATTTGGAAAACTTGCAAAATATTCTCTCTTTTTTTTTTTGGAGAGGTTTATGCTACAGGGCACGTGCACTTGCCAGAACGACAGAGAAAGAAAGCAAGAAATCACCCCCCCGGGGATGGCCATGCCCCAATCCCTTCTCCTCCATTTTCCTCTCAGGATCTTGGGCGCACATGTGCTCAGCATGAGTTTAAGTCACCAGGCCCAGGACTCGAACCGTGGTCGACTACATGGGAGTCCAGTGACATAGCTATTATGCTAACTGCTGGTCCCTGAAAATATTAATTCTTGATACCTTAAATTAGTCGTTGAAATGGTAATGTATACAGGCCAGCAGGTGGCATGGTTGGACTCCTACATGGCCAACTGCAGTATGAGTCCCAGACGTGGCAGCTTGCTTTTTCATTTTCCTTCCATCTCTCTCTGGTAAGTGCACGTGTCCCATAGCAAATTTAAAAAGATAATAAAACATTTCATTAAAAAAGGGTAATGTACATGGCAAGTTTTAAGTGTATGCTCACACATATTAGTGCTTCTCAGACTACTCAAACTACTGCCCACTGCTGGTAATCTTTTAAAAAAAAAGAATAGAGCAAAATATGGCAGAGTATACCCCCTGTGCTAACGTTAAAGTTTTTTTTTTTTTTTTTTTTCTTAGGAAGATGAGACAAAACATGATAGTTTATCATTTAGCCCTTGAAAGCATTCAGTGACACAAATACCATCATGATTCCCCAGTGTCATACCACACATGAACAATGTGAACAATGAGATAACTTTTTTTTTATATATATAACTTTAGTCGTTCTCGTCATCATTTTTTAAATTTGACCAGAAAGTGACAGAGAGGGATATCAAGAAAGCAAGCTGCCAGGTCCAAGGCTCGAAACCATGGTTGACCATATGGAAGTCCAAATGCCTCAACCGCTATACCACCTGACAGCCCTAAAATTATAACTTTTAATACTGTATCTTTTGTTTTTTCCATCTGAACACATAGGCTACAACTATTAGGCTATGCGATAAATGGGACTAGATCCCAAATATATTAGGTCATCGGGAAAGTCATGATGTGTTTTTTTCTATGCAAAAATGTGTCAAGACTTTCCCGACAACACAATAGTTTGGTAGACTATAAGTAAAGATGATCCTAGAAATGTAAAGTTTTTAACAGGTAAGTCCATTAAAAATATATATTCAGGGGCCAGCAGGTTGTATGGTGGTTAAGGTGCTGGGCTCCCACATGGCCAACCACAGTTCAAGTCCTGGACCTGGAGGCTTACTTTCTCACTTTTGCCCTCTCTCCCTCCCTCTTTCTCTCTGGTCAAATTTAAAAAATAACAATAATACATAAAAATTTTAAAAATATATATATTTTCATATCAAACTGTTCTCATTTTGAGAAAACCAGGCTGAGTAGCTTTGTCTTACAGTAAGTATGATTTATGGTACAGAAGCTTGTTAGAAATGCAGAATCTCAGAGGTGAACCAGAATCTGGGGTTTAATAAGCTCCCTGAGATTATGTAATCTGTATATTTACTTTACAGACTCTGAGAGGAATAATACTATGATGATTTTGTAGTATAAACACTTAACATGCACCCAGCGTGAGTTTTTAAGCCACCGAGTCCCAGACTCAAACCAACTGGCCAAAGTCCAGTGCCTTAACCACCATGCCACTTGCTGGTCCTTCAAATAATTTTTTTTTTACTTATTCTCATCTTACTCAAATTAAAAAGTCTGTGAACTGACATCTGTAATCCAAGTACTTTGTGTACTTAGCTCATTCATGGCCTCATAATTTACTTGTACAACGTTCTAAATACCTCAAGGGCACATGTTACTTAACTTAAAAAACTTATTAAATATTATAATTGTTCTATGTTTAAGTGTTGGATAAATAATAAAAATACTTACTGTTTTTTTCTTGATGTTGCCCCAGACAATGCCACCATTACTTTTATAATTTTTTTGCATACGATAAACATATTTATCACAATCATCCCTGTTTAAATATAAAACACAAGGGGTCTTCAGAAGTTCACAGAAAAAATGTGTATTATGAAGAACTTATACATGGATTTTAATTTTTTTGCACCAAAATAAACTTGTACATTACATTTTTCTGCAGACTTTTTTAAATCCCCTCATAATTTCAAGTCATCATTGTTATATTTTTATCCAGTCTGAACAGCAATTGACAAAATTAATCTAAGATCTATTTCAATCTTTAGAAATTCTATTTTGTTTTCTATTTGAAAGGAGACAATGGTGTGCCTATGGAGATACACAAATTACTTCAATCAAACATATTAAATAAAAGAAACACAGAATTCTAGGATGTTATGCTTCACTATGGTTCACTGTCCCATCTATGCTTGTTCCAACTAATCTTGCTGCATTTCTTTTCCAAAATTCCCACTGAAACTTCATCTACTGAAACTTCGTCTTTAGATTTACTTTTGTAACATTACCAGCTTATGTCTTGTAATGAAAATCCTCAATTTGAGGGACCAGCAGTTAGCGTAATGGCTATGTCGCTGGACTCCCACATAGTCGACCGAGGTTTGAGTCCTGGACCTGGTGGCTTAAAACTCAAGCCGGGCGCGTGTGCATGTGTGCCCAAGATCCCGAGAGGAGAATGGAGGAGAAGGGATTATGGTGTGGTCATCCCCCCTAGGGGGTGATTTCTCACTTTCTGTCTCTATGTCTGTCTCTGTCTGGCAAGCACACGCGCCCTATAGCAAAAACCTCTCCAAAAAAAGAAAAAAAATCCTCAATTTGATTACAGCTCAACAAACATTTTATTTCTACATAACTATATCTTTCTTGTATTCCTCATACCAACTATAAAGGGCTTTTTTTTTTTTTTTTACCTTATGTCTTCCTCTCCTCATTCTTAGCAAATAGGCTTGAATCAAAACTTAGAGATGAACATTGAAGCCAAAGAGAATGACTGTTTTCAATTCCCCTTCGTTAAAATTTCTAGTCCCACTTGTGACAGAAACACCAGCTTAACCTTAATTTTCATCCTCTCCCTTGGCTCCAAGATCTTATATAAATGATTACCCTCTTTATTTTTTAGGGGGAGCAACCTTAAAGATATGATGAAATGTATAAATGATGCTATTAAGATACTTACATTATGACTCATAAGCACTACGGCCTAGCAAGTGAATAAGCCTTGCCAGGTGCTATTAAGGTGTTTAAGAACAACTGATCCCATTCAGCATCAGCACCTCATACAGAGAGATCTCTTTGTACACCAAATATATTTTTTACTTCCAAAGTGATAAACCTGTTTCATTATTTGAAGTTATTTTAAAAAGTAAGTCAACTAGAGCAGATGGTATAGTGCAGCAGTTAAGCCTTGTGCCTAAAGAGCCAGATCCTGCATAGCTGATTATGGTTTGAGTCCCAGTCTGGGCAGCTTGAAAAACATGCCAGGCATGTACGCATGTGTACGATGTGTGTGTGTGTGCACGCACGTGTGTGTGCACATACATCCTAAACTCCTGATGGGATAGAGAACTGGAAGAAAAGAGGACTGGTATGACCATATCCCATTGAAGAGTGTTTTCTCTCTCTGGTGAGTATACACTAAATTAAAAAAAAAAAAAAAAAGTCAACTAATAGAACTGGTCAAGAGGCAAGAGGTAGCACTCAGGAAACTCATTTTTTTCATTTTTTTTTTTCTTTTAAACTTTAATTTGACCTGAGAGGGCAAGAGACAGAGAGGGAAAGTGAGAAAGCAAGCCACCAGGTAAAGGAATTGAACCAAGGTTGGCCATATGGGAGTCCAGTGCCATCACCCTACCTGCCAGCCCCAGAAAACTCAATTTTCTTATAGAAATTTTAGGAATTAAGGATTTGTGTTATTGAGTCCATCATGTACTCTATAAGAAATAAACATGTTTCCTAATTGTAAAAGTGTTATAAGGTGACAAAAATACCCTCCTTCTCTCCCAAACAAACCAAAACCAACAACGCACATCAGCATCATTCCATAGGCTAGAGAAAATGGCAAACCACATGTTTTCGTTAAGAAGCTTCTCTTGAGGCCGGCAGGTGGTGCTTCAGTGTGCTGGATTCCCACATGGCTGACTGCAGTTCAAGTCCCAGACCTGGAGGCTTGCTTTTTCACTTTCCCTCTCTCTGTCCCTATCAGGTTAAATTAAAAAATTAATAAAGTTAAATAAAATAATTCTTTAAAAAAAAAAAGAAACTTCTTCATGAAAATATGTTATGTAAAATTGGGGTCATGTATGTAATTTTATTTCTTAGCTTTTAAAAACTATTCATCACTGGGTCCAGTAGATGGCATAATGGTTACATGGCTGGACTCCCACATGTCGACAGTGGTTAGAGTCCCAGACTCGGTAACTAAAAACTCATGCTGGGCATGTGTGCGTGCCTAAAATCCTAGGAGGAGAATGGAGAAGGAGAGAACGCATGACCATCCCCTTTGGGGGGTGATTTCTCACTTTCTGTCTCTCTCTGACAAGTGCACGTGCCCTACAATAAATAATCTCTCTCTTAAAAAGGGAGGGGGGGTGAACCAGTGGATGGTGTAATGATTACATTGCTGAAATCCCATTTAGTTGACCGCAGTTTGAGTCTCACACCCAGTGGCTTAAAATTCAAGCCTGCATATCCACAATCCCAAGAGGAGCCTGGAGAAGGGACTGCAGCGTGGCCATCCCCCCTAAGAAGTGATTTCTCGCTTTCTGTCTATCTGGTGAGCACACACACCCTACCCTATAGCAAAAAAATCTCTCTAAAAATTAAATAAACAAACAAACAAACAATTCACCATGGGCCACCAGGTGATGTGAAGGTTAAGGCACTAGACCCCACATGGCTGACTGTAGTTCCAGTCCTAGACCCAGAAGGGCTCATGTGCGTGTGTGCTAAAAATCCCAATACTGGAGGAGAAGGGATTGAGGTGAGGCTCTCCCCCCTGGGGGACTGATTTCTCATTTCCCCTCTTCTCTATCTCTGGTGAACACATGTGTACCCTATAGCAAAAACTAAAACAAAAAAACTATTCATCATGAGTCAGCTGGTGGCGCAGTGTTAAGGCAGTTGAATCTCACATGGCTTAGCTGTGTAGTGCAAGTACTAGACCACGTGGCTTGAAAAACACACCGGATTTTATATGCATGCCTAAAATCCCAAGAGAGTGAAGGAGAAGGGACTGCAGCATGGCCATTCCCCCCGTGGGGGATGCTTTCTCACTTTGTCTTTTTCTCCCTCTCTGTCTCTCCCTTTCTCTGGGGAATCACATATGCAATATAGCAAATTAAAAACAGAAACAAAACAAAAACTATCCACTAAATATTACTCATTAAAAATTCTTGAAGAATGATTTTAATGTTATATATTTTACCATAGGGGTAAATTTTAATTTCATAATTGTTTATACTGGGGCTTTTGGGTCATTTTCAAGATTTTAGTCTATTCTTTGTGATCATCTTTGTTTATATAGGTACATATTTGCCCAAATCACGTATTTCCACAGAACAGTTTCTGATGAATTGGCCAAAGTCTTACCAAAATTTTGTCCAAAATTATTTTCTTAATATGCTTTTAACTTTCACTAAATACTAAAACAAAATAAAATATAACGTGTGAAAAAAAAAATCCGTGAACTGCAAGGAAAAAATATCCAATAAACACAAATTAAAATTTCACCACACTTTCTGAGAGTACTTAATAGTCTTTTCTCAGTCATCATCTGGACTCTGTCTCTCATACTACAGAAATTGCTCTTACTAAGATCAACATTAGTTTTTTTTTCTTTTTTTAACTGAAAGAGGGTCTCACTATTTTGTTCAGGCTGGCTTTGAATTCACAATCCTCCTGCCTTAGCCTTCCCAGAAGCTGGGACTAGAGGAATCTGCCACAGCACCTGGCTAGCACTGGCTTCTTAACTGCCAAATGGAATAGACTATTCTCACTTCTTTTCATGTGGACATCTGACTATTGGGCACTTCTGCTTTTTAAAAATTTTTGACATTTCAAGAAATTCTTATATTCACATGGTTCAAAAATTTAAAAGTCTCCTTCTCATTTGTCTTAGATACCCTAGCTACTCCCCCTAGGTATCATAAAATTTTGTTTCTAAAACATACTTTCAGAGAGTCTATTGCAATACAAACATTTATGGCAATCTCAATAAAGACATCTACACAGGTTATGTAAACATGTATACACACATATAGCCTCTATTTATTTACACAGGTAGTAGTACATCATTTCACCATATCTAGCTTTTTTTCACAATTTTGACATACTAATACTATTATTTTTTCTTTACGAATTTCTATAACTATCTGATATACCTCAGTACCTGCTGATGGGCATTTCAGTTTTGCCATTACAAGCAATGCTGTAATAAGCTGCTCATTTACAACTCTAGAAGCAAGTCAAATGGCATGTGCATTTATAATAGTGTTAAATTCCAACAAACTGTGGCTGAGATTTTACTAATTTACTTTCTTATTGCTAATACATGAAAATGGCTTCCCTTTCCTTGTTAATTTGTAGGAGTGCTGTATATATTAGGGAAATTAGCCTTTTTCCTGTGATAAATTGGTTAAGTTCTTTTCTCAGATTACTTGTCTTTTGATTGTTTATGGTGGTTGGTACCAAGTATAACTTTTTCACATTTTTTAAAATATGTTTCATTTTATTATTCTTTTCATTAATGGTTTCTGGATTTTACATCGTAGTTAGAAAGATCTTCACTAAACTGAGATTAAAAAAATCTCCAAAATTTCTTTTGGAATTTTTTTTTGGGGGGGAGAGGTTTTTGCTATAGGGCGCGTGCGCTTGCCAGACAGAGAGAGACAGAGAGACAGAAAGTGAGAAATCACCCCCCATGGGGGGTGGCCACGCCACAATTCCTTCTCCTCCATTCCCGTCTCGGGATCTTGGGCACGTATGCATACACGCCTGGCGTTGAGTTTTAAGCCACCAGGTCCAGGACGTGAACCACGGTTGACTACGTGGAAGTCTAGCAACATAGCCATTACACTAACTGCTGGTCCCAGAAAGAAATCACCCCCCCCCCAGGGGGGATGGCCATGCTGCAATCCCTTCTCCTACATTCTCCTCTCGGGATCTTGGGCACGCACACACATGTGCCCGGCTGAGTTTAAGCCACCAGGCCCAGGACTCGAACCGTGGTCGACTACATGGGATCCAGCAACAAAGTCATTACACCAACTGCTGGTCCCTCTTTTGGAATTTTTTAATTGCCAGAGGGATAATTTCTTGCATCCAAGAGAGACAGAGAAAGCACATGGTGTGGTCATTCCTTATCCTCCATTTTCTCATCCTGTCTAGATTTTAGGCATACAGCATGTAGAAGGTTTTTCAAGCTCCAAGTGGTGTGATTTGAACTGTGATCAGCCAAGTGGGATCTGGTTCCCTAACCACAAGGCTATGGGGCCAGCCCTAGGTATTTTTTTATACTGTAATTTTTTGCATGTAAAACTTTGATTCATTGATATTCATGCTGGTGTAAAATGTGAGCTATATCCCTACACTATTTGTTGAATAGATCCTTAATTGCTGTAACTGTCTATCCTTAACACCTAGAAACTTTTCAATCATTTTTCTTTTTTTTTTTTTTTAATGATTCTTCCCATTACTGGCATCTACATTCTTCGACTCATGAAATGTTTAAATATTTCTCTATGTGCTAATTCAGAGAATTAACATATCATATATATAAATACTTACCTATTTATAGAGGCTAGCATGCCTGGACTGACATGCTGACACTGAGGTGTTTTTACCAATGGAAAGATAACTGATGATGGAGTTGTTGGGTTTTTGTCCATGTTCGGCACAATATCATCATCATTTTGACTGTCTTGGAAACTTGGCAACTAAAGCAAAAATATTTATTATCAGTAGGCACCCATAAAAATATATTTCTCATTATCACAAAATATTTTATGTTGGGTTAAGTTTCATCTACCTTAAAACTTCCCAAGTTAGATAATTAAAAACAATAATAGGTAAAGGACAGAATTTAACCTCCAAAAAACTTGACTTTCTATTGTAAAAAGTGGAGACAATAGCAGCAGGTTGAGAAAAGTTAGACAAAGGTTTTCTGTAAACAGACAGTAAATACTTCAGGCTTTGTGACCTGTATAGTCTCTGTCTTGGCTACTCAAATTTGACACTGTAAAAGCGTAGCCAATATCCGGAACAGCAGTTAGTGTAATGGCTATGTCACTGGATTCCCATGTAGTTGACCGTGGTTCGAGTCCTGGACCCCGACAGAGAGGGAGGGAGGAAGCACCCTGCAAATAGCGCATAGTCAAACTGCAGCCCCACCCTATTTCCATCCTGTTGGGATTTTGAACATGTAAGTACATACCCAGCATGTTTCTCAAGTTGCCCAGTCAGGATCTCAAAACTATGTGGTAGCCCATGTTGAGCCTGGCTCACTTAAGCACCAGGTCAAAGTGCCATCTCTACTACTTACACCACTTTTCATGTTACAAAAATTAATTTTCTACATATGAATAGTCCATTTTATGCTAATATCGCTTAACTCTCTTCCCAGTTTTCAGCACATAGCAATCTTTTTGTCTTTTTAGTTTACTACAGGGTGTATGTGCTCATAGGAGAGAGAGAGAGAGAAAGAGAAAGTAAGTAACTCCCCTGGGGGGGATGGCCAAACCTCAATCCCTTCTCCTCTATTCTTCTCTCAATATTTTAGGCACACATGCCCAGCATGCTTTTCAAGCCACTGGGTCTGGTACTCAAACTGCACAGTCATCCTTAACCACCATACCACCTGGCTGGCCCATATAACAATCTTTTCTTATCACCAGTTTTTAAAAGCTTGCCTCATAATATATTAAATTTTAAATATATGTTTGACCTATTTCTGGGCCTTATATTTGTTTCTACAAATATTACCTTTGAACTTTATTGAAAGGCAGACTCTTGAAGTCAGTGAGAAGAGCAAATACTAGTAGACCACTTCCTACACTATACTTTGGTCATGTATGTGGAAGTTATCAAAACGACCGAAATGTCAGTGAATGAAATATATAAAGCCATTATAAGTTATTAAAACAATGATTTCATACATTTAAGACTCTTACCAGTACTCTTTGTTTCTGTAAAGGTGTTGTACTGAAAAAGTCATCGTGATCATCTCTTGGCAACTGTTCCAGAAAATCCCTTATCTGTTGCTTCCTTTTTAGAGTTCCCACTTTGGCAGTTATCTTAACAGTTTGCTTCTTATCTGCATCACCTCTCTTGCCTTAAGAGTCAGAAAAACATTTCAATAAGGTTTTGGTTGTTCATTTATAGTAACTGCTCTACAAAGTCAATAGTCTTTTGCAAACTCTAAACTGTGTGTTCATATTAAATAAATTCAGACTCTATTATTGTATAAGTCTATATAACAAATTATTCTTTTTTCATTGAGATCTATACAATATGGTTATCTCACATAATACTCGTGAAAAAAACTACGTAAGACTAGGCGGAGTGAAGTTAAAAAGGTCTTTATGCTATGCTATGCCCCATATCTTCCTTGTTGAATACCTAATTTATTGATTTCGTTAAAATATAAGCCTTTTTGTATTATGGTAGAGATACCAGGTACTCCCTAAAGCTTATTACAAGGCCTCCATGACATAAAACACTTTTACTAGCAACCATAGTCATTGTATATAATCCTGGGACTAGAAAAATGGAATTTATTGAGTTTTCTCATGAATTACTAGGGGCCCTACCCAAATGGCCTCGAAATAAATTAGATCCTTAGAGTAATAATCCAGATATTAAAATCACTGGATCCAACTGCAGATTTCATAGAATAAGCTCAAAGCACTAGGTTGCTAAGCAACTACTGATAGAAGTAGCGAGCTATGTAAAACTTACAATGAAACAGATGATCTCTGAAGTTCTTTCTAGCTTCAACATTTTAAGAAAGCATCTATAACAAGGCTCACGAGTAAACATAAAATATACGTAATGAGTGATGAGAAATCTATACTAAGCACTGAAAAAAAAAAAACCTATTTACTACAAAGGTTACCATTTTGAATTTTGAGATTTGCTGGCCTTTTTCTAGAGACGTGTTTCTTGGATTGTTTTCTTTGGGGATTTTCCATGTACTTCCTCTGGCATTCTTCAGCAGATCGAGAACCTACAGCCAGAGCTACATCAGACCAGAAACCAGGTCTGTGTTTTGGAAGAGATGTGAAAGCACTGTGGAAAACCAAAATCAGTTAAATAACAAGAAATTCTAATCAATAGAAATGACCTCCCAAAACCATACCCGCTGATTCAAGGAGATCTACTGGCCAAAGGAATTCTACCAAAATCCTTGTAGATAACTATTCGGAAAGAAGACACTAATTCTTCCACTCAATAACTTATCCTAGTGCTTAAAATTTTCCTTTAAAGTTTTCTGCTCTCTGGCATTTTTTTTTTTTTTAAATGTAGTCATTTGTGTCAACTTCTGCTACAACCCTGACTCAACCAAGCTGGGAAAATCATCAAGGAAGTATTTAGAATCTAGTATACATATTACCAATCTCCTGCAAATAAGGTTTCATATATTGTGGTTAGGCTGACAACTCAGCCAAAAAAAAAAAAATACAAAACGAAAAAACACAACTATTTAACTCACCATTAACATAAAAATGGTACTAAAAGTGAGTGCTATTTCCACTCTATCAAGTCTGTATTTTTAATATTATTTCTTTGACAAAATGTATTTTTATTTCAATTTAGTTACAATTAATAGAAACAGATTTCATGTAACAGTTATGCTGGTAATTTTATTTTTTTCTGAAAGTTTTTTTTGTCTGTCGGTTCGTTTGTTTTTGCTATGGGTACATGCATTCTCCAGAGAGACAGAGAGAGAAAATGAGAAATCACCCTCCAGAGGGGATGGCCACACAACAATCCCTTCTCTTCCATGTTCCTCTCAGGATTTTGAGCACACACATCAAGCCACCAGGTCTGGGACTCATACCTCAGTTGGTCATGTGAGAGCAGGGCCTTAATCACTACACCACCTGCTAGTGCCTATGCTGGTAAATTTGAAATCAACTCTTGGGTTAAAAATCCTGGTTCTTAGTGTTTGCCAATTTTCATGTGGTAAATACTCCCATTTTATGATTGATTTCTTTTTATTTTGGAGAGGTTTTCACTATAGGGCACGTGTGCTCGCCAGACAGAGAGACAGAGAGACAGAAAGCGAGAAATCACCTCCAAGGGGGAATGGCCACGCCGCAATCCCTTCTTCTCCATTCTCCTCTCGGGATCTTGGGCACGCATGCACACGTGCCCCGCGCGAGTTTTAAGCCACCGGGTCTGGGTCGCAAACCGCAGTCGACCTCATGGGAGCCCAGCGACATAGCCATTACGCTAACTGCTGGTCCCAATTTTGTGGTTGATTTCAAGCTACCAACATAATCAAGCTGGCAAAAAATGTGTGACAGCATATGATTCTACAATATTTTCACCATGCAGATACAACAGATACAAAGAACCTCAAAGGCATAAATGGTAAAATGTGGTAAATTGGTAAATAATGAATTTTGAGTATTTTGTTCTTAATGAGATTATGGTATTTTTAATGAATTGGTTTAACAACCAATTTCTAAAATTCTTGAAAATTTAAAAATCAGCTCTTGGAAACAGCTACCAGTTCTATCATAAGCACAACACTCTACACCTAAGAGGAGAAAACTTAGAGGTCGTTAAACACTTGTTAACGAATGCTCTCTTTTGCATAATTAATCATCCCATATGTATTCCAAAGTGAAGAACTAGGATTTCAGGGCTCAAGCTTCCATTTGTGTATGTAAATCTAGGACTATCTGAAAGGACTATTTTAATAATAAAAATACTTAATGTTGCATTTAATAAGACATTAGCAAATAATTAACAAATCTCTTTTAGATTATCCCACATAATTTTAAAAAGGAAAATTTAAACATGTCACCCTAGGCAAACTTAAAACTTATTCTTACGCATAAAAGACCAAAATCTTTAATATGCCTACATTGTTCTTTGCCTAACTCTCTATTCTCGCCTTGTATTTTTCCTAAACTTTCAGTATTACAGTTTTTGTGGCCTTCTTTCAAAATTTAATTCGTTTTTCTTTTGTACTTTTATGTACAATCTATCTAAAATGTATTTACCTCCAATCTTTGGCTTAAATATTTTTTATTTATCCTATATATCCCATGCTGCCTTAATATGTATTTCCACAAATGTTTTTAAAAAAAGTGTATTCATTTATTTCTTCAGAGAAAGACTTCCACACTGCCATCTAACCACAGCTTCTGCCAGCTTGTGTCACACATAGGCACTGCATGCTTAGGAAAGTCCTAAGAGGCAATCCCAAGATCTTTCGCATACGAGTTCAGCTGTATCACCATTGCTCCATCACTGAGCCCCTCATAAACATCTTACACTGATTATTTGCTAATACCTGTATATCCTATTGGGATTCAAGCATGAAAAAGAGTACAATGCAATGGACTACTTCAGAGCTTACAACAAAAATTTGAACAAGAAAATAAGTAAATAAGTATATAAAATAAGCAAATAAACTCGTAGACTCTACCACTGCAGATTTCAACTCAGTAGGTCTAAGATGATGGTAGTTTGCGTTTATCAAAAGCTCCTCAGGTGATTATTTTGCTGTGCAGTTGAGACTGGAATCGCTTTAGGTCATTCATAAGAGACCATCTCTAATTGAGGTATCAATGGGAACAGGTGGAGACAAGAAAAGGATTCAGGAAGGAGTTACGTGAGATAAAATTTGAAGTATGGGGACCAGCAGATGGCGTAACGGTTATGTCGCTGGACTCCCACATTTTCGATTGCAGTTCAAGTCCCAGATGCGGTGCTTAAAACTCACAAGGCAGCACATATGTGTGTGTTCCCAAAATCCTAAGAGAAGAATGGAAGAAAAGGAACTGTAGTGTGGTCATCCCCCAACAGGTGATTTCTCACTTTGTCTGTCTGTCTCTCCTGAGAGCTCACACACCCTACAGCAAAAATCTCTCATTTAAAAAAAAAAATTGAAGCATGGATAAAAATATATTAAGTGACAATGAGACAACAGCATTGGCAAACAAATGAGAATAAGAAAATATAACATGGCTAGGGAATGGCAAGCTTTCATATTAATGGCAAGCTTTCATATTAATTGTAAACTTTTATTTTTCACATTAATTTAAAAAATTAATATACAATAAAATTGACTCTTTGGTGTATGGTTCTATGACTACTGACATACAGATTTGTATAACCATTATGACAATTAGGATACAGAACAGTTCTGTTACACCAGAAGAAATTTCTCTTGCTACTTCTTCATTTTCATATTCCTCCTCCCCACAATAACCAGTAGCAATTCCTGATGTTTTCTTTCACTTTAGTTTTACCTTTCCAGAATGTCATATCACGGTACATAACCTTTTAAGCTGCCTTCTTTCCACTCAGCATAATGCTTCTGATTCATCTAAGTTATTAGATGTATTAATAGTTCTTCCTTTTTATTGCTTAGTAGCCCACAGTTAGAACATGCAATTTATGCCAAGAGTACCAAGAAATCAGGGAGAATGGAGAGCTTAATAAAGCAAACTGAAAATATTTTATGAAATCCTATCCTCATCCTGTAATTTTGATATATTTTCATTTTTGTTCAGTTCAGAATATTTCCTGCTTTCACTCAGACTGTCTTTCTCCTAAGACTTCCTCTTTGATCCACGGACTACATATAAATGTGTTATTTAATTTTCAACTGCTTGGAAATTTTCCTGTTCTTTTAACTGTAGTTAAGTCAATTACTGCCACAGAGAATACTCTTTGTATGATTTCAATTATTAGGTATGTTTTATGATTACATATTATTTTGTGAATAATTGACCTATCCTTAGAAAAAAATTGTCTTTTTAGGTGGAGCATTCTACTGATATAAATGTTAATTAGATAGAATTGAAGACGGTGATTTTTTTATATATGATTGCTAATTTTCTTTCCACTAGTTCTATGAATTATTTATTTTTGAGATTTTTTTAGCTATAGGGTGTGTGCACTCTCCAGAAAGACAGAGAAAGTGAAAAATCCCTACCCCTCCCTAGGAAAATCCCTTCTCCTCTTGGGATTTTCGACATGCACGCATATACACCTTGTATAAGTTTCAAGCCTCCAGGTTTGGGTCTTGAACTGGGCCACGGGGGAGTCTAACGTTTTAACCACTATTCCACCTGCTGGTCCTTTTCCTTCCTTTATTTTACTCAGAAGTGATGGTCATGTCTTATTCTCTTTAAATTCCATAAGTGTTCTCATCATTTAAATCTCCTGGATGGATTTCAATACCTTCTTCTCTCTTGAACATGACTATTTTCACCTGCCTCTTAACAGAGAATCCAAACAGAAAATATCTAAAAAGAGACCTGATTCTCAGGCTGGCCTCACTGCCTTGTAGTTAGGGGAGGCAGATCTCATATGGCCAGCCATGGTTCAAATCTCAGTCCCAGCAGCTTGAGAAACATGTCAGGTGCATATTAATGTGTGCCCCAAATCCTGCCAGACAATGGAGAAGAAATGGAGAAAGAACTGCAGTAAGATGATGCCCCACTGGGGAGTGCTTTCTTCCTCTCTGTGTCTCACTGGCATGTGCATTCATCCCTTGACAATTCAAAACAAGTGAACAAACAAAAACTTGATTCCCAATCTCAACCTATTCCCTCCTCTAATATACTCTATACTACTATCTACCATTTATTTAAGTCAGGTGCCACATAATTGATACATTTTGTATTTAATATTGTACTTATACTGATTTCTAGATTTCATTCAATATTCTCCATCTTTATAGCCCTCATCTCAGTGCGGAACACAATAAACTTCAATAACCCCCATAACAGTGCCTTTCCCAAAGGAATCTTTTCAAACTATATCATGACGCCCTTAAATGCCTTATTGTTTGCACATAAAAAAAAAAAGAGGGGGGGTGGGGGGCAGCAGGTGGCATAGTGGTTAAGGCACTGGACTCCAACATGGCTGATCAAGCTTGAGTCCCAGACCCAGAGGCTTGAAACTCATGCTGGGCACGTATGTGTGCATGCCCCAAATCCCGAGAAAATGAAGGAGAAGGGATTATAGTGTGGCCATCTCTCCTCAGAGCTGATTTCTTGCTTTCTGTCTCTCTGTCTCTCCAGCAAGCGCACATGCCCTACGGCAAAAAACAAAACAAAACAAAAAACAACAAATAACTCAAAAAAGAAAACGAACTCTTAACTATGATATAGAAGGCTATTGTATAAGTGGTCAATGCCTATGCCTATCTCTCTGCTACTCTGCTACAATTCACTGTGCTTTAATAAAAGCAAAAGCAGTCTTACTTGAGTTCCTCCTGTATCAAAATTTCTGTAGTCTTTGTTTAGGTTGTGCCCTGTCCCTATGATGTTATTTCTCTAGATTTTTATATGTCTGACATGATCTTATCCTTAAATCTCCAGATAAGCATTATCGAGAGAGAGCATTCCTGACCACACTACCTGTAGTTCTCCATACCAGTTTCTCGTTTGCTTCCTTCATAGGATATATCACTGTATATAGTTCATGTTTACAAATAAAGTGTCTATCTTCCAATTATATTGCTCCTCAAGAAAAAGGATGTTGTCTATTTGCCTTTGTTTGTTCTTTTGTTGTTTTGTTTTGTATCCTCAAACATTCTAAATTGGCTGGCATATAGAAGGTATTCAATAAATAAGTGCTAAATGAACAGAAGGGCAGTATTTTTAATGAGTTTTACTTCAAGATCTGTACAAATCACCTATTTTGAGACTCTATTTTTCCTTATAAATGGGGGGGGAGACCATTTTAAATAATCTACAAGTTTTAATGCAGCTTTAAGGTTTTTAACTATAAATTTAATTTTATTTCTTAAATTTACTAGAGGACACTTGTGCTTACTGGAGACAGAGAAAGAGAGAAAGTACTCCCCATCAGGGATAATCACACAACAACACCTTCTCTATCTTTTCAGGATTCTGGACATACGCATACTCTCATCTGGCACATTTTTTCAAGTCCCTGGGCTCAGGACTTGAACTGTATAATCAGCCATATGGGATCCAGCCACTTTAATCACCACTGGCTGGCCTTAAAATATTCCTTAAAATGCAAAGCTAAGAGAATAGCATTTGGCTCTCTTGCAATATTAATGGAAGTGAAAAGGTTATTTTTATTTTCCTCACATATAGGTTTAGAGATGGCCACAAAGTACCACTAGATGGTACCCATATTTTCCCTCTATTCCCTGTACAAATTGTAGTTTCTCCCATTTTCTTGGATGCCACCCTCCACGTTAATGGTTAGAAGTCATCAAAACGCCTCTTTATTGCTGATTTTATGTCTTCAACTGTTTTGTGGCTGATTAGAATTATTCATTTTATTTTATTTATTATTATTATTCAACTTGACCAGAGAGAGTAAGCAGGCCTCCAAGACTTGAACCATGGTCAGCCATGTGGAGTCCAGTGCCTTAACCACCATACCACCTGCTGGCCACTGATTTGCAGATATTTCAGAGTAAAATCTAACTACTTACCAATGAAGCTTCTCTACTTCCTTCTCATTCCATTCCTCATCCTGAGTGAAACCAGGTAAACATTCTGAGAGATGACTGTTAATCCTGTCAGTTCCCATCACCTCAGTTATTGGAAACTCATTCTTAACATCAGATTGCTTAAGATTTTCTTCAGATCTAACTTTCTTTTGCTTGATATGAAACTCATTTTCACTTTGTTCAGTTTCTGATTCTGAAATCACTGGAGTATTTCTTGTGTTTCTTGTGCTTTTTCTAAGGTGAATCATTCTTTCTTTGGTATTTCTTGCTCTGGTTTTCTTAACAATTCTAGCTTTTCTTCTAATTTCCTTTTCAGTTTCACTCTCTTCACTTGACAAATCTGATGAAAAATGATGCTTGTAAAATGGCCTAGCTCCTTGCTTTTGGGTTTTCTTCAACTGTGGTAACAACCTGGTATTTATCTTAAAGTCAGAGGTGACCATTTGTTCCTTTTTAGAGTCAGGTATTTCTATTTTATGATTGACAGTGAGTATATCATATTCAGTGCAATCTTCCTTGTTTTTACTTTCATGATTCACATTATACTCAAACGTATTTTCTAAAGTCCCTGTGGGCTTATTGATGGGACTTACAGTTTTATTTAAGTCTGATTCTCTTTCTTTTTGACTCTTGGGTGCTACAAAATCTGTTATTGTTTTAACAGAGTCAGAGGACAGATTATACTTCATGCATCTTTGCTCTATCAGCTTTTTAGTTTTAAGTGGTGTTACTAAAATATAAGCTTCCTTCTGATTGACAGTCATGTATTTTCTTTCTTCATCTGAAAAAATCTCTTTTCTTGAGGTTAGAATATCAATAGACACATTCAATTCTTCAGTTCTCTCTTTAATTTTGTAATACAAAACAAAGATCAAGTCTCAAATTAGTTATAAACTAAATTAGGTACAGAAACAATAATGACACAAATGAAATATACTATTTTTTTCACAAGCTCTATTGTATACTCTATGTCACAATAACTTTCCTGAAGAACAGATTTATTCAGATTACTGCTTTTCCAATTTTAAACACATATTATTGTTTATATGAACCCATCAATGACTTCTCAGTCTGTTGGCATACCTATAAGCTGCTCTGCCTGGCTTTCACCTAGTTGTAACCTCTTACTATTCTCAAAACTGAACCATATTCTGTGTCTCTCAGAGCTCTTTCTGATTCTCAAGTTTTTTTGATTCTCAACTTCCATTAATTTCACTCAGTCTATGTAGAAATTTTTCTCTCATCTACAAATCAAACCACTAAGTGCTCTGGTTCCGTTCTTCAGCCCAACAAATCTATAAGCTTTGTTTGCTCTGACATCTTAAACTGAATGAAAGCTCTATTCAAGTTTCCAGAATACTATTAAATAATGCCATGTTTGACAGTGTATTAATATTTACAATATAACTGCACATTCTGTCTTATCTTTCAATTAGAATGGTAAAAATCATTCATGGTAACAACCTTATCTTCTTACTTAGACTTTTTATTTTTTACTGAAGCTAAAACATAGACTTTCACATATACAATAGACACTAAATAAGTATTTGTTAAATCAACTCTCTGGAAGTAGAACACTTAGGACCCAAAAGAAAACCACTACAGCACTAAAATCTCACTAGGTATGTAATATATATATTAGAAATTAAGGACCAAGTTATTAGGAACATGGCTCCACTGTCATTCCTGATGGTGGCCATAAAGACATACTTTTGCAGAATCCCCAATAATGCTACAAACTATCATGGAAAAATAGCCAAAACAGAATAACTTGGAAATCTTTATTATATATCACCAAACAAAGCAAGTTAAAATGAATGTTGCTCTCCAATTCAAAATTTCAGAAACTAGAGATCTGACTAACTCAAAGCCTAACTTTAAATTATCTGATTATAAGCCAAGCCCCTAGGCTTTGTGGTTAAGGGAGCAAGATCCTAACAGCTGACCACGCAGTTCCTGGCCCCACAGCATGGAAAACATGCCAATGAGTGTGCATATGTACCCCAAATCCTGACAGGACAGGGATAGGGAGAAGGGATTGTGGAGTGACCATGCCTCACCTGGGGGGTGTGCTTCATCACTCTCTGTCTCCCTGTCTCTCCGATGAGTGCACATGCCCTCTGAGAAGAAAAAGTTATCAAATTGTAACTGTAAATGAATCTAAATTTTAAATCACTGTGTCAATCCTACTCATGCAATATACAACAGCCTATGCATAGTACATGCCATTGTTTACAAGTAAAACAACAAAAAGAAAGACCGATGGATAATAATGAACGCTGCAGAGAAAAGAAGCTTCTAAATTATAATTCATGGAGAAGTGGTACCAATCAAAACTACCCTAGAAAGTTTCTACAAGATTTTTCACTGGTATCATGCAAAAGTAGTTCATAAGGTTCATGGAAAATGGAGTTAAAGTACGAGTTTATTTTGGTGCAAAAAATTTTTGAAGCCCACATATGCTTCCTTCAATAATATGTATTTTTCATGAATTTTTTGAAGACCCCACATCTATCTTCAAACAATAAGAAAAGTTTTCTTCTAACTCCTCATCTAAATCCAATTCCAATGTTCAATTTGGAATTTAAAAATTTTGAACATTCTAAGTTTGAATAAGACATTTCCATTCAGAATATGTTTATTCATTTTCTTTAAAAACTTAAAAACATTGGGAACCAGCAGTTAGCGTAATGGCTATGTCGCTGGACTCCCACGTAGTCGACCGCGGTTCGCATCCCGGACCCGGTGGCTTAAAACTCACGCCGGGCGCGTATGCGTGCGTGCCCAAGATCCTGAGAGGAGAATGGAGGAGAAGGGATTGTGGCGTGACCATCCCCCCTGGGGGGGTGATTTCTCGCTTTCTGTCTCTATGTCTCTCTCTGTCTGGCGAGCGCACGCGCCCTATAGCAAAAATCTCTCTCTCAAAAAAAAAACAAACAAAAAAACGCCAAAACAGAATAACTTGGAAATCTTTATTATATATCACCAAACAAAGCAAGTTAAAATGAATGTTGCTCTCCAATTCAAAATTTCAGAAACTAGAGATCTGACTAACTCAAAGCCTAACTTTAAATTATCTGATTATAAGCCAAGCCCCTAGGCTTTGTGGTTAAGGGAGCAAGATCCTAACAGCTGACCACGCAGTTCCTGGCCCCACAGCATGGAAAACATGCCAATGAGTGTGCATATGTACCCCAAATCCTGACAGGACAGGGATAGGGAGAAGGGATTGTGGAGTGACCATGCCTCACCTGGGGGGTGTGCTTCATCACTCTCTGTCTCCCTGTCTCTCCGATGAGTGCACATGCCCTCTGAGAAGAAAAAGTTATCAAATTGTAACTGTAAATGAATCTAAATTTTAAATCACTGTGTCAATCCTACTCATGCAATATACAACAGCCTATGCATAGTACATGCCATTGTTTACAAGTAAAACAACAAAAAGAAAGACCGATGGATAATAATGAACGCTGCAGAGAAAAGAAGCTTCTAAATTATAATTCATGGAGAAGTGGTACCAATCAAAACTACCCTAGAAAGTTTCTACAAGATTTTTCACTGGTATCATGCAAAAGTAGTTCATAAGGTTCATGGAAAATGGAGTTAAAGTACGAGTTTATTTTGGTGCAAAAAATTTTTGAAGCCCACATATGCTTCCTTCAATAATATGTATTTTTCATGAATTTTTTGAAGACCCCACATCTATCTTCAAACAATAAGAAAAGTTTTCTTCTAACTCCTCATCTAAATCCAATTCCAATGTTCAATTTGGAATTTAAAAATTTTGAACATTCTAAGTTTGAATAAGACATTTCCATTCAGAATATGTTTATTCATTTTCTTTAAAAACTTAAAAACATTGGGAACCAGCAGTTAGCGTAATGGCTATGTCGCTGGACTCCCACGTAGTCGACCGCGGTTCGCATCCCGGACCCGGTGGCTTAAAACTCACGCCGGGCGCGTATGCGTGCGTGCCCAAGATCCTGAGAGGAGAATGGAGGAGAAGGGATTGTGGCGTGACCATCCCCCCTGGGGGGGTGATTTCTCGCTTTCTGTCTCTATGTCTCTCTCTGTCTGGCGAGCGCACGCGCCCTATAGCAAAAATCTCTCTCTCAAAAAAAAAACAAACAAAAAAACAAAAAAAAAACTTAAAAACAGTCTTCATTTTCACTTTGATTATAAAACAAAACAGAAAAAAGGTGATTTAAACTAATGGCTTTAACTTAACATAAAATATTAAACTTGCTAATATTTACAGGCTCTTTAAATTCTAGTGTGCACGATTTTCAATTACTCTGAAAATCCAGTTAAACTGAAATTTGATAGTCTTTATTAATAGTCTTATTTATAAATTCAGTCTTTAATAATTCCTATAAACATATAAAATAATACATAATTTTGTGATCTAAAAAATTATTTAGTACCCAGATTAAAAGAGGCATTCTTGTAAGTAAGTAGGCATTTAAAGTAGTGGATTACTTTATTATGCAAGTCAGTTTCTATAAAATTAAAATAAAATAATTAAAACCATTAAAATGGTTTATCATTTCAGATTAGGAAACTTAACAAGATTACTTCTATCAAAAACATTTCACACAGCAGCTTTCTAGTTATCATTATGAATTAAAGATATATTACCTTGTTTCTGACTTTTAATAAATCTTTTACTTGTTCTTTCACAATTTTCAAGTTTCTCTGATAACAAATTTTTAGACTCCTTTTTGCCAGTTAATTCCTTCAAAACAAACAAACTTGCTTTTAACAACTTCTACTTAAACAAGATTAAACATTTTATAGTAACATGATTTCAAACAGTATGCATTAAGCAAACAAACTTCTAGGGACTTAGTAGTTCTAGAAATTTCATTCATGAAGGCATTCAGAAACTCATTTGCAGGGCTTGAGCTTTAGAAGCACCATCTAGATACCCACTATCTTACATACTTTCTTCACTGATTTAAAACTTTGGTTTTTCAAATGCTTTTTTATAAAGTATTTAAGTTTTACTCTAAGAGCTAAAACTATTGTTATTTTTGTCTGTACCTTTTCAATGGGTACTGGGAAAATAAATATCAAAATATTTACTTGCATTCCCAAAGTTAATGAAAAATTGGTAATTAATAGTTATTAAAGGACTCTTCTGATTTGGTCCTCAACTTATTCAGTAGTAGCATATTCTGCTTTAAAAATCAAACACTGGATAGTAAAGATCTTACGTGATTACAGAAGTCATGTCTTCCATTTTTAGTAGTATTGCTTAGTCTGCCATCTGGGAGCTTTAATGTTGGGTTATTTTGGCAATTAATATGATAAATATTTAACTCCGTAGCTTCTGGCAATCCATGGCACTTATTCTTAAGTTCTATGAGTACAAATATGGAGATTTCAATAAATGTTTATATAAAAGGTGTGTTGCTCTTCTACATTAAGAACTATCTTTGAGAAACCTGCCTAAACCAAGGTCACAAATATTTACTGTAATTTGATTATGATATAAAGCATTTTGATTTGGACAGAATCACCATGTTTGATTCAAATCTCTTTTATTTCCCTCAAAAAAAAAAAAAACACAGAAAAACTGGGCAGTCATATAATTTGTAACTATCAATTTTGGATCTTCTTTGCCACATCAAAAAACAAAATAGTAATATTAATCTATTTCGTAAATACCAATGTAACTATCCAACGCAACTGCCTATCAACTAAACAGAAAGCTAATAACTTGGAATTATGTACATGAAGAATTACATGGAATTATGCTTCAATCAGTTTATAGTACTCCAACATATAACTAAATCTATGCTAAAAGCAAATGATAACATATACTCTACAGTTATTGAGCTAAAATTCTAAATAAGTTTTAAAAAGACTCACAGAAAAGTATAAAAACAGATCCAGGCATGGTGGCACTTGAGAGCCTGGAAGCTACATTGGAGGCACAAATTAGGTTCACGGGCAACCTGAACAAGGTGAGCACAGTTGCATGTGACTGAAATCCTAGCTACTGGAAAGCTAAAACGGGAGCATCCTAACATAGTGAGGGCATATCAAAAATACCTGTCTCAGGGCCAGCAGGTGGTATAGTGGTTAAAGTGCAGGATTCTCAGATGGCCAACCACAGTCCAAACCTGGTGGCCTGAAAAATCACACAGGGCGCACGTGCTTGCATGCCCAAAATCATACGCGGGAAAGGGATTACAGTGTGGCTATTCCCCAGGGGTTAATTTCTTACTTTCCCTTGTTTCTCCCTTTCTTTCTCCAGCAAGTGCCTGTGCCCAAGCCAAAAATCTTAATAAAAAGAAAAAGAAAAAAAAAAAAACCTGCCTCTCTCTGCCTTTCTCTCTCTCCCTCTATCAGAAAATGCACACAAGGGACCAGCAGTTGGCATAATGGCTATGTTGCTGGACTTCCATGTAGTTGACTGCAGTGAGAGTCCTGGACCTGGTGACTTAAATTCATGCCAGGCACATGTGTGTGAAGCCCAAGATCCCAAGAGGAGAATGGAGGAGAAGGGACTGTAGCGTGGCCATCCCCCCTGGGGGGTGATTTCTCGCTTTCTGTCTCTATGTCTCTGTCTGTCTGGCGAGTGCACGTGCCCTATAGTGAAAATCTCTCCAAAAAACAGAAAATGCAAATAAGTCAGGGTGGTGGCACATATTTGTAGACCCCTCACAACAGAGAGATTCTGCCTTCTCATAAACATTTTTGTTATTCTTCTGGAAGCTGTACTCTAAAGATACACAATAAAGACCAACTAGATAACTAGATGATGTACTGGTTAAGATGGCTGGATCCCATATGGCTGACTGCATAGTTTTAATCCTGGACCCAGAAGGTTGAGAAACACATCACCATGTGTATGTGCGTGCCCAAAATCCCAAGAGAAGATGAAAGAGAAGGAATTGCAGCACAGTCATCTCACCTAGGGGTGAGGGTAAGGTGGTGCCATGTACCCTATAATTTAAAAACAATAAAAAAGAGAGAGAGAGAGTCATTTCAGGGTACAAGAGAAATGAAGATTTTCTACTGATAATTCAGCCTCCAGCAAACAAGCTAGCATGATGGATCTAAGGGTACTGTAGCTAACCATCCAAATACTATTAGAGTTAACATATTCTTCAATATCTACTGAATCTGCTGCACAAAGCGATCACAACAGAACAACAGAGAGATTCCAGATCACCTCTTTCTGCTTGCTCCTGAACATTGAGATTGAACTTCAAGAATTAGGAAGAAACACATCATCCGTCAGATGACTAGAAATCACCGCAGGACCACAAGAAATATGGGAAAGCAAGAAAATACCTCTCCTCCAAGGGAAAAGAAGAACTCCTCTTAATCCACAAGCATTTCAATGGAAATCATGGAAATATCTGATAAAGAATTTAGAACATTCACAATGGTGAAGCTAACAGAGATGGAAGAGAAGAGAGATCGTGAACAGCGCAAGAAGCAGGAGAAAGGAGCTGACAAGCTCAAGGGGGTGAGGAAATTCTTGCAAGATCTAAAAGAGGAATTGCACACTTTAAAAAAGAATCAAACGAAACTGTTAGAGATGAAGACTATAATATAGGAAGTCAAAATCTCCCTTGAAAGTATTAAAAGCAGACTAGATCATTCAGAAAATAGAATCTCAGACATAGAAAATTGCTGGCCTAGAAAAATCCACCACAAAGACTGAGAAAATTGCCCCCAAATTTGAAAATAGTATACGAGAAGTACTAGATACCATCAAATGTCCAAACATCTGGATAACTGGCATTCCAGAAGGCGAAGAGACCAATAAGGGCGTTGATAATCTATTCCATGAAATTCTGCAAGAAAATTTTCTAAACCTAGAGAGGCACTCAAAGATCCAATCCCAAGAAATACAAAGTACCCCAAATAGAATCAATCCAAGAAGATCTTCTCCAAGACACATTATAGCCAGGTTGACCAAAACCACAGAGACAAGATGCTTAAATTG